TGTAATGAGCTAAACTGTTTTCAGATGTGTGAACATGATTGCACAAGGGTTTTCTAATCATAAATTAGCCTTCTGAGCCAATGAGCAAACACATTGTACCATTAGAACACTGGAGTGATAGTTGCTGGAAATGGGCCTCTATACATCTATGTAGATATTGCACCAAAAACCAGACATTTGCAGCTAGAATAGTCATTTACTGTATTTCTTTAAAGCTCAAAACTAGTTTAAAGTTACCTTCAAAAGTACAGTGCTTTTCCTTAAAAAATAAGGACATTTCAATGTGACCCCAAACGTTTGAATGGTAGTGTATATGTGCACGTTCACAGATTCTGGATTAGTTAAAGCTGGATTGAGTTAATGAGTTAATAATCATTTTGTTGCTATGTCTGATCCCTATTGCCACTGTTGTGGATTGGTTAAACTGGATTGGCCAGAAGCTAATGTGTTATGCCGAAAAGTGCATCCCTGCCTGAGATATGCATCCCCAGCCACGGGAGCGCGCCCTCGCTCTGTACAACTGCGACTATCAATGAGGAAAACGGATTAAAATATGACCAATATACTTGTTGTTATATTAATGATATAAAAACGCTTTAATATGTGGGGAAAAAAATTTGTGGTCATTTGGCAGATTAATGTACAAAAGTATGGATGTTATGAACAACATTAAATCCTTGTCCAGGGTACAGCTTTGACTTAAGCGGAAAATCAAACGCGCATCTACACAGCACAGCATTCACAGACCAGTGTGATGCATTCACGAGCGTCAGATAGCTATGGTGCATTCAGGAGCATGGGACTTTTCATACTTACAAGGAAAGAGTCATAAACAGAACAGAACATAACTCATACAATAATGTATTTATTCGGAAACAGTGTGGGTTTTCTTACAATACTAAATGCTCTATATGGAGACAGAGACCAACAAGACCTCCCTCATCCTTGGCCCTATCTCAAAGAATTTTTCGTAATAGTCTAAAAATGTAGCTTTCAATTCATAAAGTGGCAACTTGCTGTTTTTTTTAAAGGTTACTTTATACTTTTATACTTTAAGTAGTTTTTGGAGTAGATACTTTTTCACTATTACTTGAGTAAAGAGGTCAAGATGATACTTCAACTTTTACCAGTGTTTTTAAACTGCAGTATCTATACTTCTACTTAAGTAACAAATGTGTGTACTTTTGACACCACTGGGCGGAAGTGAGCTTGTAAAAACGAATCCATCCTCCACTAAGATTTTCTGAAACAACAAACAAAGCTTGACTGTTTTCGTCTGAAGGCTTTAGATATCATCCAAGATGACAATAGATAAATGATGAAGCCAGCTGATCCTTCTG